TATTTTAATCTTCTCTCTCGTCAAATAAAATTTCATGTATTGCTTTTGCTTACAATGAAAAAAAGATCAGGTTTTAGAACAATTTTGTAGCACCGATTAGAAGCCGTCTCTGGAAAAGTAACATACATTCCTGAAACAAGGTGAAAACGTTTGTGACAAACAAACAACAGAGAGGCTTAAAGATGTATGGACAATGAGATTGTAATCGTGATTAAGTAAGCAACGCTGTTAAACCACATGATTATCAATAAAACCGTCGAGAGAGTTTAAGTTACTTTGCCTTCTAGAGATGACTTGTTACTTTGCGAAAAGTGATAAAGACAACACACGACCATCTGATTTGCAATGAGGTAGAAGCAGAAGTAAGGAGTTTATTTGTGGACCGTCTGTCGGAACAAAAGGGGGGGCCTAAGATTTATATTCGACCGAATGCGACTTCCCTTTCATGGAAAAAGTGAAGAAAGTTTCGGTAATACCTTGAGAGCCGGACGGATTATCAGACTTAAAACTGTAAAACGCATAAAAAACCAACAACAAAAATCAATCAAACAAACAAAAAAAACTAAAAAAATTAAGTAAAAGTAACTGGCAACCTAGAATTAGCACATGGAATGATTGTTAAGCTCAGGCGTGATAATAACAGTACTTTGCTCTTCTCCAATCTACATCGAGTCTGTATGGATTAAAAAAATAAAAAAAAAAAAAGGTGTACTGAGAATTAACCAGCGTATCCTACTAAATCAGAAGTACATTGATGAGACGAAAGTGCAAAGCTGCTTTGCTATTTCCATTGACCTCTGCAAGTCTCGTGCCCACCTTAAGATACCCCAAGACAACCCACGGAGCTCTATGAGAGAAACTCCCTCCTTACCCACTCAGCTCTGTCTTTAAGGTTTTTTAGTTGATTAATCCCGCTATTACTAGCCGCTCTACAGGAGTCCATACTCCCTTTAATTTTCATTTTCTCTTAGTTCAGGCATCGACGAATCCAAGGAACTTAGTTTTAAAACCTTAGTTTTAAAACTAAGGTGGAAACGAATTGATATGATCCCTCACTAGATTTCGCATATCAATAACGCTAACGTCTGGCCCGTTGGCGTTTTATGTTGTGACTCAAACAAACAGAAAATGCAATCGCCGTAGGAAAACGGAGTGACAAAATCATGAGCTACGCAGGCGTCTGTATTGCATAGCAGTTTATTTTGATTACTGTTACAAAGTCTGTATTGCCTAGCAGTTTATTTTGACTACTGTTACAAAGTCTGTATTGCCTAACAGTTTATTTTGATTACTGTTACAAACAAGTCCGGGATGGATCTATCCTTACTCCTTTATCTTAGCACGGCATCAACGTATTTGGATAGCTTCATTGGAAAAATAAATATTGTATCTCAAGCAACCAAAAGACCTGATATTCTCTTAAAGCCACTCAATGCCGGTAAACATAAGGTGTGATAAGTAATGAAGGTATAGAAAAGCTTTGTATTAGCAAGTGTCCTAAATTCTCGAGGTCTTTCAGTTGAGGCTAAAGAAACGAACCTGAGAATCAAAAGAAAAGTAGTTCGTTCCCTACGGCAATTTGACGTTACTTTACTCGCATATAAAGTCACCACACAAACCAACTATGAATACAAATTATTAATCTTGTACGGTGTTAGTCTTACTATAAAGTTTTACACTATTTAAATAAAAAGCTGATCTATGTAAAACAGGTAATTTAGTGTTAACAACTGAGTTGAAAACGTAAATTGGCCACCGTAAAGAGTAAAAAAGCTGACGTTTCGAGCGTTAGCCCTTCAGTCAGATCGTCAGAACGTTTCGAGCGTTAGCCCTTCGCCATCGCTCTGACGAAGGACTAAAGCTCGCAATGTCAGCTTTTTTACTCTTTACGGTGGCCAATTTACGTTTTCAACTCAGTTGTTAACACTAAATTACCTGCTATACTCTCCCACCGACGTAAAACGTACACCCTTTATTCTATATAAAACAGACATGTACTGACCTTTCGCTATTCGAAAGATTAAACTGAGTTTATAAATGAAGACTATCAATCGTATGGGTCAGCGAGCTATGACACGCAACTTGTGACAAGCACTGGCTTTTGGTGAAGATTTTCGAATTTTGCCTTACGTTTCCAACAAGAAATTATTCAAAATATGCGACGGTGGTATTATCAAATTTAACTACCTATACCGATATCAGTTACAGGTCGTTGACTACGGGATAATTTCTGTCGAAACACGACATTCTACAACATTTCACAACATTTCATCCTGGCCACGCGAATTTTCCCTAGGGACTGGAGAGACAGAATCTTGTTGATCTGCTGACCGT